GGGGGGAGGAAAAGAGACCACGCCCCACACAGAGACAGCACCACCCTCCAAGGCAGGGCACACGCCACATGCCGGCCTGCTTTGACTCCCAAACACCCAGCTGCCCCCGTATAGTTTCCTAGCAAATAGAACCCTGGTTCCCCAGCCCCCCAGACCGCTCTTGTCCACACAACATGAAAACCCCAGCACCTATAAGGTCCAAGCCCTCTGAAATCCCCTCGGGCTTGAAAAACCTGCCACGGGACTAGAGCACCCGGCCTCAGGTTTCCTGAACAGCCTCCACCCCCACGCCCCTGGCCTCTCTCTCTGGAATCCTACTGGAATCTGGAGGGAGAGATGGCATCTCAGAGTCTCAAGATGAAGTCCCTCTTGCCCACCCCTGCACGGCAGGCATGCCCGGCACATGACTCGAAGCCTCTGAAAGGGGGAAAACCTGGACTGGGGGGCTCCATGATCGCCTGTGTACACGTGGGAGGGGGGTGGAGGTAGGCACAGGGCCTATGAGCACTGGGCTGGCAGGGTGGCCATGGGCCAAGAAAGGCCTCCTCAGGGTTGCCTGAGACCCAGAAGAAGGCAAAGGGACAGAGCAGGAAAGGTTACAGTTGGGAGCCTAGGCGTCCCTCACATGTCTTAAGCCTCTTCATTTTCTTCCAAACACCCAGGCTTTGAGTTCCTACCCCAACTTCTTGGTCCCCTACCCAGATGTGCCCAGCCCCCTGGCAGGACAGCTAAGTGTCTGACAGATTAGTCCTCTCCCTGCCCTGCCCCTGGTAGCTGTGGGGCTTTGGGCAGGTCCCTTCATCTTTCTGAGTCTCAGTCTCCCCATCTATGGGATGGGCATGACCATGGGGTCTGAGGGCGTAATGTGGACAAGGGGCCTGGCCTGAGCTCAGTGAGGGGAGGTCACCATTAGCCTGGTGACATCCCCCACCATAGTCAAGCAGGGCTTCAGGGAATTGGGGAGGGAGGTGGCCCAGTGCTCGTCCTCACGGAGCCGATATCCCTGCGGGTGGGTACAGCCTGAGCTAGTGGCACAACCCAGAGGCCTCTGGAAGGTGTGGGTATGAGACCCTGAAGGAAGGATCTAAACCCCTGAGAAAAGCACGCAGTGATGAGGGGACAGCGTAAGCAAAGCAGAGGGATAGGAAGGCGCTCAGTCCATGGGAGGAATGTGAAGAGATTGGTGGATGGGGGCCCATCAGGCTGTAGCATCAGGGGTTGTTAATGTTATCGATAGCTGCCATGACTCCCACCCATGGAACCCTCCCTGCTCACCTGAGGTGACACCCTCTCCCACTAATTCTCACCACCAGCCTCTTAAGCAGATTCTATTATCTTATTTGGGGAAACAGAGGCAAGGTCATCCCAATGGGGAGGGTCAGCTCTGGAGACCAAAGCTTGAGCCTGCAGGGCCCACACCTGACACCCACCATGTCCCCAAACTGCCTCCTCCCAGGAGCTGGCAGGGACAACCTGCAAACAGGCATAGGGGAGAAGGAGGCACTGAGGGCAGAAGTGCTCACTCCACTTGTGAGTCAGTCTCTCCCCGGAGACACCAGTGTGACAAAGAATCTGGAGGGAGACTCACCCGCACACTATGAGGGGGCTCGTCTTAAAACAGGCTACTCCCTTCTCAGGGGCTAGCTTGACATAGTTGGCCCAGTAAAGGTGGGTCCTGCAGGGGGAAAGCAGACAAGGGTCCGCCAGCCCCCATCCTCAACGCTAGGAGAGATGTGAGCCAGTTGTAGCAGCAGCCGGCCGTAAAGCCTCAGCCTCCTCCTCCTTCCTGCAAAAGCTGTTGGCAGGTTGTTGGGGAAATGGGGGACCCAGATGCGTGATGTTGCCTCCCTCTAACACGGAGAGCTACAGGGAGGTGAAGACGTGGGCTTGGAGGCCCAGACAGACACACGTCACCCACCATTAACCATAGCTATAGTGACGCATGCCCTGTCGTGGACACTCAGGAAAAGGCGCACGTACTCTGGCTGTCATTAATCTGCTGGGGGCCCAGACCCCTCGGGCTCCTTTCTGCTCCCCACCCACCCACCTACCCACTCCCAGAGGAAGGGAGGTACTGGCCAGCACCATCACTGGGGAAGAGTGGGGCTAAGAGGGTGCAGCTACCCAGGCACCTCAGCAGGACCCCACAGAGGGGACAGAGAAACCCAGGAATGCTGGAGAACAGGGGACAGAGGTGCAATAAAGATGACAGAAGAGGTGGGCAGGGCAGAGTGGACACAGAGAGATGAGACGGATGGGCAAGGAAGTGGGGGGAGGGGGATGGGAGAAGAGATGAGAGACCAAAGAAGGGGGCAGGGAGGGGGAAGGCAACTGACAGAATTGGAAAAGGCGGCTGACAGAAAAGGAAAAGGCACAAGGAGAGGCAAAGCAGTGAGGGCTGCCCCTCAGCCAGCAGCAAACAGGAAACAGGAGGAAGCAGGTAAAACGGAGAGTGTGTGCTCTGACTCCGTCTCCCCCTACCTCACCCCAGACACATGAGTGCACATATGCACACGCATGCGCCTGTGCACACGTGGCCTTCCCTTGTTTGAAAACCTGATCCAGGTCCAGGTGGGGTGAGAGGGCACAGCCCCCAAACCAAAGGTCTGTCCTCCCTCCAGCAGTAACTCCTCTGCCCTCCTCCACACCTGGAGGAGGTGGCAAAGGGTCTGCTTTGCCTGGTGGGCAGACAGCCATGTTGCCAAAGCGATTACAGAAATAACGGCCACCGGACCCTAAACCCACACTTGCTTAAAACCCAGCAGCTTGCAAAGCTGGGCCCTGTCGCACTGCCAGACACTAAGGAGGAAATGACTTTCCCATCAAGGGCCCTCTCCACTAAGGGGTCGTCACCCTAGTGCCGTGAAGCTGAGGGTCCCACTGCCCACCTCAGAAAGCCACCTGTACCTGTATCAAAGTCCCTTCCTAGCCTGGCCATGCTAACCCAGGAGAGTTCAGGGAGGCCACTGGCCCCGAACAGCCCCAGGGCAGCAGCCTCAGCCTTTCAGGTCAGCTCAACAGAAGTCCCAACTCCAACTAAGCATGGTCATGCAGGGGAACGTGGGGGAGGGACCCCCACTCAATTCCTCCCCCTTCCTGCCTCCAAGGATCAATGGGCGTTTGCATCCGCGGGACCAGGGCAGCTGAAGGGCGCTGGCTGTCGCCGCCAGCCCTGCGTGTTGTCGCACCGTTAGTCACCTCCCCCTGGACCCTCGGAGCTGTACAGCCCCCACCCCACCCCCACTCTCATTCTCTAATTATGGTTTTCAAGATGTGTCCCAAACCCTGAAATTAGTTCCAACTATACCGACAAGAGAAGAGCGTCCAGCTGAAAATGTGCCACTGCCATCACACCCGCCTCCCCATCTTCTGGCTGGGGACAGAGGGACAGGTGTCCTCTCTGGTCAGGGTATCACAAATGTAACATGCAGGCTCGGCAGCCATCTGACCCACCGCAGGTTACAAGGAGAGGGAGCAAGGTGGGAAGAGGTGAAAAGAGACGTCTACTTAAACCTTCACTCAAGGAGCTACGAAACGGCAAGAGGAAAAAATAACTGTGTCTTGACTTTGAGGAAAAAAGAACAACAAAAAAATAATGCTTTTGCTCTTTTTAAACACTGTGGCTTAAGTCCATTTTCATCACAGCAAATGAAAGACAATAATGCACCCACAAGCCTTGAACTTCCACAGGATTCTCTTCCCCCTGGGCACACCCCACATACACACACGAAAAATCCAGACAGCTGACAGAGGACACGTCCGTGTAGCACCTGTAATTTGCCTACTGATCACCCGCCTGAGCACAGCCAGGCTGTTTGAGGAGAGAGATGACAAGACGGAGAGAGACTCAGGCAGTGCCTTTCCTGAGTTTGATTTTTCCTCATCTGGGAGAACCTACAAGCTGGAGTAGGCAGAACCAGGGGCCCCTACCCTTGGGCAGAACTGGTCTAATGACGCAGAGCCAGCCTTTCCCTTTCCATGAGGACAGACCCTTCCTCTTGGCCACTAGCAGCCCGGCTACTCATTTCCCAAAACCCCTGTGTGGTCACTGGTGCAGGAGTCCAGGGACAGGTGGCTCCTCAGAGCGAGAGACAAATAACAGACAGCAAGGTGGTCACCGTGCCCCAAAGCCACAGGGGTGTCTGGGCACTGACATAAGGCTGGGTCATGGTGCCCATAGAAACAGCTGCTGTCCTAAAGGCCACAAGCACTGAATACCCATTTGCAGCCCCAGATGCATCTGGCCAAGCTCACCCAGAGGAGGAAGCCCGAGTTTCCAGGCTCCTGGGGAGGGAGAGAAGGCTCAGAAGGACCACGGAGAACCAGCAGAAGCTGGCAGGGCCAAGAGATGCTATTACCCTGTTGGCAGGGGCAGGTGGGGGTCCTCCCTGCCATTCACCTTCTGCCTCCACCCCGGCACCTTCATCTCCCAATTGGGCTCTCCAGGGGACCCTTCCCCCAGGTTTAGTGGCGGGGGCAAGAACAGGGGACACTGACCTCTTCTGTGGCACTGGCCAAACAGTAAGGTGCTCGCATCCTCTGCTTCCAGCCCTCCCCCTCGAAGGAAAAGGCCAATGAAAACAAGTGTGGAGGTGCCCCCCACCTCTGGATCTAAAGCGCCAGGTTCCTACCCGGGAGGAGACAGGAGGCAGACGCTGGGCTCTGACTCCGCCGGGCAGAGGTCGTTGGCCGCCCCCTCACCCAACCCCAGTTTTCCCTCTCAACCCGACAGCGGCAAGGAAATCAGCTGGCAAGCTCGGACCCCCCAGAGATCTCGCTCTGTGCGGTTTGGGGGATGGGATGGAGAAGGGGCACCGCGGGGAAGTTTCGCGACGCAGCCAGAAGCGCCGGGACCCCGGCTGCCCGCCCTCTGGGCTTGGGGCCGCCGCCCCCGGTCGCGGCGGGCGGCGGGACCCAGCGCCCCGGCCCGGGCGCGGGCTGGGGGACGGAGGGGGGCTCTGGGCTCGGCCGGGGTCCCGCGGCCGGCCGAGGCCACTTACGTGTGCTGCTGAGGAAAGCTGTAGGCAGAGGCGCCGGGGGCGGCGAGCAGCGGGAGCAGCAGCAGCGGCGGCAGTAGCAGCGACAGCGGGCGCGGGGGCCGAGCCGCCGGCCGCCGGGCGCTGAGGCCGGGCCGCGAGCCGCGGCCGGGCCAGCTGAGCGCGGTCCGCGCCGGGCCGGGCAGAGAGGCGCCGCAGGTCCGAGCCGGCACCGCCATGTTTCCATTCAAGATGCGGCGCCGCGGGGAGGGGTGGGGGCGGCGGCGGCGGGTTGGGGGGGCGCGGGCGGCAGGCGGCAATCGCCTCTCCTCCTCCTCCGCCTTCTTCGCGCGGGGCCTCCGGGGCTGCCCGAGCCGCAGCACCTCTGCGGGCTTCGTGCTCGATCTCTCCGCCGCGCTAGCTCGAAGCGCTCTGAGCGCCGGGTCCCGGACTAGCGCTCAAATAGCGGCCGCCGCCAACCTGCCGGCGCCGCCCTCCCCGCTCCCTCCCTCCCTCCTCCCCAATTCCCCGGCCGGTCCGCCCCCGCGCGCCCCCGTCGCGGCCACGCGCCTACCGCGGCCTGCGCGCCCCTCGCGCCTCCCTGAGCCGGCCCTGCTGGCCCGCGTGGCCGAACCGAGCCGGGGCACGCGCGTCTTGAGCCCCAGCCAAGTCCGAATTTCCAATGTGCGCCCTGCCCCACGCCTCAGACTGCGAAGAGTCCCCGGCAGGCGCATAATGACCCTGCTGGGGGCTCGACCTTCAACAGGCTTAAGGCCTGGAGTCACAGGTTTAATGGTAGAATGGCAGGCTTCAGCAGAGACCACTGTAGAGGGCAACGGAGCTGAACTCATACCACCAGGGGCTCCAGCTACCTTCAAGAGCCCTCTCTGGGGGAACTTGGGTCCCAAGGCTCTGACAGAAAGAAAAAGCCTGGGTGGGAACAGGTCTAGTTGCACAGTTGTGAGGGGCTGGGAATGGATGCAGCGCTCCGCAACCACTCATTTCACTTCCCTGGGCTAAGCGGGCACTGTGTGCAGACGAGCCCCAGCCCCCGAGGCTTGCACAGCCTCTATTTAAACTCCTCCAGTGCCAGTAAGCTCACCCCTGCACAATCCAATCCCTTCTGTCCTGGAGGCTCCTGGCTCTCCCTTGCTGCCGGGAGAAGGCTGGGCTGGTGTCAGTTCTGACTCTGCGGCTTGTGGGCCTCTCAGAGTCTCACTCTCCTCCCTTGTGAATGCTTGTGTGGGTGCCCACCCCCATTTCCAGGATAAAGTGAGAATGGAAGTGAGTTGCTTGGTAAATTGAAACACTCATGGTTGGGGGAGAGTATCCCTGAGATTCCGCTGAAGTTGCCCTGGGGCCCTGCTCTGCGCCTGGCACAGATAAGATGGGAGAATGCTTCCTACCAGCCTGGAACAGAGCAAGACCCTCTAAGCAGTAACTGCCCACAGATTCGGTGCCTAATATGAGTGAGGGCCAGTAACCACCTGAGCAAGAGCTCCCCACATTATGATATCTGGGTGAGTCTCCCATCACCTACTTACAAGGCAGCCTAAAGAGGATTTGCAGTGGAGGGGGAAGAGTGGTAACCCCTGGACTGAGGAGGGCAGAGCTACCCCTCTCACCCAGACAGCGGCAAGGGAATAGGGCTCAGGACAACCTTTACTTGCTCCTTATTCCTGCCTGGGCAGTCCTACCCCTGCCTACCCTCACGAGGCAGGGAGACAGCTTTGGAGTATCCTCCTTCTCTGACCTGAGTGAGTCTTCAGAGGCCAGACTGAGGCTTGCCATAGGTCCCAAACATATTGTTAAATGAAGGCAGTGCCCTGGGCCCCAAACCCCTGATAGGCCTTGGGGGCTGGTGAACAGGAGGGGCATAGTGGACTCTGGAAGGCCAAGCCAGGCCAGTTCTGTGGAGGACAAGGCAGATGCCTGATTGTGCAGATGTCCCCACCCCCACTTCTGGGCAGGGCAGTCCTTCCACCTGGACAGAATGATGGGGGCAGGGTGCGTCACAGAAGAGTCAACAAGCTTGAGCTAACCTAACCAGCCCCCTCCTAGCCCCTCCTACTGACAGTTGTCTCTAGCACCTCTATCTCCCCCATGCCTAGGGAAGGGCTGGCCCATGGTATCCTCACCCATCTGTTTGCTGGATAAATGCCTGTGCTTATGGCCCCAGGGAACCAGCACAAAGGGCATCACCCCTCCTGGGTGCCCTCTGGGGTTAGGTGGGCACCTTCTCAAGGCCAGCTCTGCAGGGGCTGAGTGAGAAATGTCAGGGGCAGCCTCCCTGCCCTTTGACACCAGGATGGCAGCACTATCCCCAAAGAGTGCCCAGGTCATCAGGTACCTGTACCCAGGCTGGGTGCAGCAAGTGGGCATTGGTAGTTGGGCATCTCAGTTCCAGCCTCCACAGATGTGCACCTAATTGAGGCTGCTGGTGCCGAGGGAAAGGCGGGAGATTTTGGTTGACAGGCCGTTAAAGGAAGACAAATAAGGAGGGGAGGTAATTAAGAGTAAACAGGTAGTAAGAGTCTACACACTCCAACTTCAGAGGCTCACAACATCCTCGGTCTCCTGGCTCCTGGCTCCAGCCACAGGTTAAAATCATGGGAAGAAAAATCAAGACTTCCTAGCGAATAGGGGGACTTCCTGGACAGGAATATTGACAGGTTTGGCAGCTACCCATCTGGCCAGATGTGCCTGTGCTAGAAGATGTAAGGCAGCAGGGGCAAGTAAAGGTGCAGCCAGCAGAGAGAGGCAGGGGGCCTGGCAGGTGCCAGTTCTGCATGTGGGCTGAGGGGAAGTCAGCTAAGCAAGCCAGAAGAGACCGAGAGGTCTTTATGGAAAACCTACTATGTGCCAAGCAAGTCCCGAGGGACGAGGAAGCCTATCAGGAATGTCCAGGACACCTGGGGCAGCAAGATCCCCACTTCAACCTGCCCACCTTCAGCCTCCCTGCCATCACCCTTTTGCTCCTCTATAAGCCAGTGGGTTGGAGAGCTCCTGGCTTTCTTAGAGTTTTACCCCTGCAGTTCCTTCTGCCTGGAACACACTCTCTCATCTCTACCACTTGAACCCAGAATGTTTATGAACCCATAAATACCACTTATGCCAGGAAGCCTTCCTGGACCTCCCCTCAACTAGATAGGCTTCCCCACTCCAGTCCCTACTCTCCTGCCCCCTCCCCCCTGCCACACACACATGCAGCAGCCTCTGCCTTGGGTTCAGAAAAACACCTGCACCCAAGCTGGGACCCCAAGTCTCCCTTGTCCCTGTCACCACCTCAGGGCCCCACACAGAGCCTGGCCATTGGGAGGGCACAGGAAGTGTTGACATAAGGACTTTTGAGTGGCATCTCCAGGAGCCTGGGGCTATGCCCAGGAAGAGTAGTCTGGCCTGGGCATAAGGAGTGATAGCTTTGGCCTCAGATATCACAGGTTATATCAGCAAATCACTTTGCCTCTCTGAGCCTTTGTTTCTTCGTCCATATAATGGGAGATACGGTACCTGCAGGGATGGTCTGAAGACCCAAAGCATGTAACACGCTAAGGGCAGGACTTGGTACTCTACAAGGCCTTAATGAAGGGAGACCACAGAGAGACTCAGGCATCCCCGGGAAGGGGTTATGGTGAGCAAAGAGACTCAGGCTCCAGACTGAGGTCGAGACTCTGTCCTCTGTGCCCCCTCCCAGGCACCGGGGCCCTCAGAGTCCTCAGAACTCCCCTTGGGAGGACTCTGACCTGAACATCTTCCCCAGGGGAGTGAGAGGCCCCTCAGTGCCACCCTTGTGTTCTATACACAGTGATGTGTATGGCACAGAGACCCAGATGCTTGGTTTGTCCCCTCCCCTGAGGCCTTCATTCTACCGTGGCAAGAGAAAACGAGGACAAATAAAAAGGAGAAATTCTCCCCTCAGAAGAGAATTAGGTGTCTGAATGGCTTCCAAATAAATAAAAGTCTCCTCAGAGCCCCTGGCCAGCACTGACAGCAGCTCTAACTCTCCACAAGACGTGTTTTTCTGCCTCCAGGTGGAAGTGAAGAGTGTCAGCGGTGGGCGAAGTCAGGGTCTGAGGAGGCGGCCTTCCATCACCTCCTAACACACCATCAACACCTCAGCGGAATGGCCACGGCAAATTGCCTCCTCTGATGGCCGCCCCTCCAGGCCCTCAGAGAGCAGAGAGAAACAGGTGCTGGCCTCCCCCACCAAGGCCGGGAAAGAGCTTCCCGGTCAGCTCCTGTCCCGGCGCATTGCTGGGATCCAGTTGTCAATTCTGTGAACCACCCCTCCCTAACTTGCTCATTTTGCAAATGAGGAAACAGAGACAGAGGGCTCTGGCGACGGTGAATGAAACCAGCAAGCCAGGGATGTGTCCCTGAATGAGTTAGCTCTGCTCGATGTGAGGGCAGAGCGAGAAATGTTTCCTGAGAGGGGCCTCTCCGAGTGCAGGTACACACCTCATGCTATCCGCCTTCCCCTCTGCACCTGAAAAGGCAGGAGAGATCAAGGCTAGACCCCAGGAAGTACCTCCTCGAGCAATGGGCTAGGGAAACACCCTGAGGAAAGTCCTCAAATCTTCTGCTTTTCTGCTAAAAGCATCTCTTGGCTTTGGCCCACTAAGCTTTTAGAGGATTAGCCTCTGCTAGGTGGTTGAGGGGAGGACAGGACCTGGCTCCACCATTACTTAATTTAACTGATGGCTGCTGCTCCTGTGAGGGGCAGTTAGCACTTCATTTGTCGAGCCTGGAAGACGGATGAGGCTAGGTGTTCTTCAATTACTGAAAGAAGTTGACGCTGTGGGAAGTGGCAGCAGGGCCACTAGGAGCAGTGCATGGTGAGAGGCTAGGTGGCCCAGAGGCTGCCCTGCCCCCTTTCATGAGGCCCCTGCCTTCTTGGGGTGATGCCAGCACTCAGGACCCTCCCCCTGAGTTCCTTAGACACCAGACAGGGAGGAGAAGGGAGGCTTTCTGCCAAAAGCCAGTCCAGCCTTTCCCATTAGCGCTGGATATGGGTCTTTCTGCTCCCTGAATCAGGGTGCCACTGCAGCCCTTGCTGTTCTCCCTGGGTCAGGGCCTTTGAGATCTCATCTCCAGGGCCTGAGGTGAGGTGAGGCAGGGAGCAGGGAGGAAGGAGGCATGGACTCCTCCCCTACTGGTTGGAGTGGCCTGGAGTTGGAAATCCTGAAGGACCCCCTCTTGGCCTGGAAATGTTGTCCCTGAAGCCAGGCCATTAGCCTCA